TACAAATATAAAATAATATAAATAACGTCTTACATTTTCTCTGTCTGCCACATCAGACAGTTTTCTGACAGTATTGATGAAAGTAGTTAAGCCGAATAAATATTTCCGCAGCTAGTTTTACGTTTTTCTCTTTTCGTGTTGATGCCACCATGTAGGCCTACTCACCAAGAATTCACAAAGGACAATGTACAGTATGTAAACAGAGACTCACATGACATGCATTCAGTTATTGCAGAAAAATACCACAAACCCACAAAAAAGCAGAACACAGAATAATTCGACAGCCATTAAATAAACCATCGACATAAGACATCTTATTCTGCCACACTGTAAATGATTATCTTTTCTATGTAGAACCCCCCCCCCCAACAAACTTTATAGATCACCTAGCATTAATCATTTATCAATAGTGTAAACATGCTACAACCCCTTTTACATATAAATCCATTCAACATAGGAATTAAATGTACATAATATTTTTTCTTTTCCGTCAGGGGCAGCCCTTTTGCTGAGAAGACAAAACATTTATGAGGAAAGAAGAAAAACAGAATTTTCTCTTATATTTCATGTATCACCACCAACATTCTTAAAATCAACAAACTCACACTTTTGACCTGCCCTTTGTCTCAGGGAAACATTTGTGTGTGTAACCATAGTCATAAAAAAGAGATTTCTTTCATTTTAAGCCCTTTGTATTTCTCTGAAAAGTCTAGTATACACACTCGGGTTTGGAGACTGAGGGTACACAGACACTACGGAGGGTTTAAAACTGGAAGAGATCGATAAAGTGCTGAGGAGAGATGGGCATGAGGCAGTTGTCCGGATCGGTGGCTGTGCATGGGTGGCCAAATTCCTGGAACGAGGTAGACACAGAATTGTTAGCGTAGAAAGCAGAGAGGCGTCTGCTCATGTTGTGCACACAGAACACTTTGACGTATGACACTGGAGTATGTGATGCATCAGTTGTTAGTGAATTTAAAATTAAACAGGTTTTTGTAGGTTGTCTGGGTTGACTGATCGAATTTAATGATTAATACAAGCTCTGAAATGTCTAATTTTCTATGTATGCATGTAGTAACAACTTTAGCTGATTAACAGCTGTTGATTACATTAAACAAAAGAAAGTCTTTACAAACTGGACAAGTCCTTACAGTCCTAACAAGAAGTAAACATGACCTTAATAACCTTTGTGCTTTCCTATAGGTGTAATGGTGCAACATAGTTTGATGAATCAATTGTTTGAAACAAGTCAGTGGTTTTAAAATCGTCCTGAACATAATTACACACAGAGAAACATTTGTGTTAAACTAAATGACAACTGACGTTAAGTTTATGATATAACACAAATAACTTGCGGTTAGGAAAGATTAAACAGTCAGCACAGCAGAAAGGGTGACACTGTTTACTAAACACGAGCCAAACATGATGACATCAAGCAAAACAGAGCACAACAAGACAAAGCTCAACACATGCAAAAAGATAAGCCCTCAGTCGGTTCACGGGGAGAAACACGGGACAAACGGTCGACTGAAGAGACAAAGGCATGATGGGACAGAAAGTACCTTGAATAACAAAGTCAGGTGATGATCCTTAAGGAATCAGGGGGAGAAGCGGGAAGGAGGGGAAGACAAGCGAGAGGAGGGATATAAGGGCAGAGGTTAAACAGTATAAGGAACCAGCCAGGAGGATAACAAGATTCTGGGTGGTACATCATCGAAGGAGGACAAGTAAGGATTGGAACTGCTGAGTATTAGGGCCATATTAAAGAAAACAGACATTTGGAGAATAAAAAAAGTTATTGAGAAGAAAGGCGTAGTAATACCAGAATAAAGTAAAACATATTTTTAGGAAATAAACAACAAGGAGAACTAACGCCTCTGGATCCAAAATCTTGAAGAAATCTCATTGTTTCCAGAGAAACTACATAAACACAGTATAGCAAACACAGTGTCTTTTAAAAGTCCTGATACTTATGATAATGTGGTGCTGATGAGCCGAACGATTTAGTATTAAATCACTAAAAAATAACTTAACACTCATACCTTATTTAAACGCAGGCTGCTCTTCTGAGTCTAAAATCTTAAAAAGACTTTATGCTCATAAAATGTACTTTTATATTTTTCCTGTAATATTACGACTTTGTTCTTAAAATTACAACTTTGATTTGAGTGGCCCTAATACTCTATCATGGATTGGCTCAGTGACATTTTGATCTAAGCACTTAGTTCACTTACAAATCGTCCTCGCACATTATTAACTCAAGCTCTAACATAAATAAATGTGATCTGTGTCCTACATGTGGTTAGAGATCAGCTCTCATAGGTGACTAAGGTCAAACCAGTCATTTGTTTGACCTCTGACTGCTACATCTACATAAATGAGCACGAGCTCTCGGCAGTAAAAGGTGATTCAATTAATGTTATGTAAAATTTGTACTTTACTTGCAGTCAGAGGAACAGCACTAGTTCGTCATATAGTGTTCCCTGTGTGAATGTGGGTGCAGGTGTATTTTATGTTCCTGTTTACCTTCCAGAAGAGGATGCAACAGTGTTTGCAGAAGTGCAAGGTGTCGCCGTATTGGTCGTTCGTGGGGTAGTGTTTCTGCAGAATGAAGTACATCAGCTTCCAGTCCACGTTGTCGCTCTTGGTCAGGACCAAGTTCTGACAGAACTGCACGCGCACACACACACACACACACACACACAAGCAAGCAAGCAAGCAGGAATTAAATATAGTTATAGTACAAGATCTGTGAGAGAGAGAGAGAGAGAGAGAGAGAGAGAGAGAGAGAGAGAGAGAGAGAGACCAAGTAGACTGTACTGTAGCAATCCTGCCCTCTAGTGGCCAACAGTTACATCTTAACAGGCCGATGGGGCAGCCACCTGTTAACATGCTCACCTACGATTATAAACATCAAAACTTAATTTCTCTGATTTTAAAATGGGTCACCTGGAAACAGTCCTTGAGTAGATCTTGTCCTCTCACCTGTTTGTCTGAGAAGTGGAAGTAACACAGTTTCTTCCACAGCCTCCGGTTCTCACTGAGCATGAGCAGAGTGGGTGTGGCCTTTCCCAGGTTAATGATGTCATATGCGTCAGATAAGTTGTAAAAGATCTTATTCTGCATGTGTAGGGGCAGGTCGTTGAACGACAGGCCAGTGCTCATTTGCTGTGGGAATAAGTAACCACCAATCAGAACTGGGCAGTAGAGACAGATATTAATACAAATAGAATGGAATTTTTTTACACCACAAAAATGTTTTCCACAGAAGATGCAGTTTTATGCAATTAAGCATCAATTTTCAATACACCTCCCCCCTCAAGATTTCACTTTGCTCCTCAATCGGGTTGTGAGCAGATGTTGCATAAAAAAATGGCAAAGTCTCAGCAGAGCAGAATTCACTGCAGTAGATAAATTGCAAAACTGCACAACAACGCTTTTTGAAAATTCCTGTTTACAGAGAGACCGCTCTCTAGAAACCGGGGCCAGAACCACAGGTGTGAAAAAGCAGAGAAGAACATGCTGAAGTTTTGGGCTGAACAAAAAAATTGGAGTACACACCATAGACGAGACTATAGGCTATAAAGATGGGGTGGAACGCCATGACTGACAGCTTGTGGAGACACATCGTCCATATTTATATACAGTCTGTGGTGCACACACTTTCTTCCTCTACCTTGGGGATCTGCAGGTCGTTGAGCTGCTGCTGCCACTTGAGAATGTTCTCCAGTCGGCACAACCAGATGTTGACATTGCCCACGAGGACACATCTGCCAACATGGATGGTCAGATTGTGCAGAGTCATGTGCAGGTCCTGCAGCAGGTCCTTGACCAGGCGAGGATTGTGCTGGTCCTCGAGAACTAGAAACCAAATTTGAAAAAGAAAACAAAAAAGAGAAAAAAAGGAAACAGAAATTAAAAATAAATTAGGATCAGCCAAAAAAAGGCAAACAAAAATAAGATGTTATGTTGAGTTAAAACAATAACAATATAGCATATTTCCTTTTCTAAAGTGTCACTCATTTCCAGCTGAA